TGTTTGCGAAGGTCCAAACTGCCAATATAGTACTTCCGAGTCACCTCGGTGACCACGGTATAACACGTGTGAATAAAAAAAACTGCAAGTTTGCCAAGTCATATTGTGCCTCTCTCCGAAGTTCTATTCTCTGTTTACATCTATCAGTGTTTAGTCGAAAATGTTTACTTGAACTCATGGCTAACTAAAGTCTTACTAAATACCAGAATGCTGCTACGGTTACTTCCCACACTCCTATGTGTGTTATTGCATTTTATTTATGAAGATCTCACCTTCAGATGGCTTAATTCCTCAACTTTATCGTGCTTTAAGTTTTATAGGTAAGGTGATATCGTGCGGAAGGCTGTTCTCACAAACGGTTGCTTAAGTGGCGATGTGGGATTTCTAACTGTCTGAGTCTATGACTCACTGATTGGATATTCACTCTCATTATCCCAATCATGAACGTGAATGGGATTTAAGGTACAGTTGTATGCGAACATATGCAAATTTTTTAATGGAGGAAGATTGTGAAAGCATTGTTATGAAGTTACTTGGGAGGAGACACCTTAGTTTTGGTTGCTTAAAGAGTTGTGCGTGCACGTTTCGTGCTGTTTTGGAGGTAGTGAGGATTTTGCCGACGCAACTGGCAGTGACTCATGGAAAGTCCAAATCTGACCCGGAAGAATGATAAAATATGAAAAAGTTTTCCACTGAAATTGATGAGACTTAGTCACCCTGCTGATTTTTAATGAAAACACAGGACAGAACTTTTGGCAATCTCTTCTGTCATTTTTGAAAAAATTCAACATAACCATCAGCTGCCTGGAGCGACTTTTAAAAATGTCAAATGGAATGCTAGCATCGACCAACAGTCCATTACGGAATTTGAAGTTTTAGTAAAATTGCATGGACTGTTCGTGCAAATACAGAAGTATGGTCGCCTATGCTAGGAACAGAAAGGATGCCCTGTTATGCAGCATAGCAATAAATTTAAAAGATAATTGATGGGATGCCAAATAAAAACAGTTTGAGCAAAAAGTTAAAAGTACTTGTTATGCTCTTTTAAATTGTTAGAGCTATAATTCGTAACATCTTTCCACTTGTAAGTCAGGGCAAAGTCGTGACTTCACTAATTTTTTAAGTACAGCAATTTTGTTCTGCACCAAGTAAACATTTCATTGCCTTAGGACGACCAATTAACGAGCTGTCAAGCAAAAGAACACGCCTCGTTTCGACAGCTGTTTGTGCATTATAGACGGGCAGTGATGGTGTAAACGCCGAACTTAGTCTGTTCAAACTGCTGCTGTGCTTGGTACTTTGTCTCATTGTCACTTGCATGCTTGCGGCCAAGACCGGTGATATTTTATTCAATCATGAATAATACTCGATTCTTAAACGTAGTCCCGCCGTGGTCACTGCAGATCTTTGTATCCTTAACCTACGTCAGAGTCCCCTCTTTTGTTGGAAAGGATTACCTGTCCTTTCTTTTTGTTTCTTTAACTTAACTCAAATTGAAACGCCTTGTTTGAATGGCGGGTGGATGACTAGTGTAATACATAACACGCGCATCGAGTAGTAAAACCTGAAATTCACCATTCAACGAACTAATGGTGATGTTTTGTCTGACAATAAAACGGGCTTAATTTGTGCCCTGATAGCATATGCTCAAGGAGCATATGGGTGGGCGACGACTGATAGAGCTCTGAGACTTGTGATGTAAGTGTTATAACGGAAATAAAGAAAGTCCATTATTTACCTTAAGAGATGTAAAAATATGTAGCATTTTTGCGACTTTTAAAAGATAGACTTGATAATAGAAGAAACCTGATAGTGGACTGCGATCTCGCGCCAATGTTAATGTACAGCACAGTTGGTGAAACATCATCAATGCATTTGAGCCATAAAAAGTCTGTGCCCAAATGAATACGCGGCAGACCCGCGCAAGGCTGTAAAGGTATCACCGACTTTTGTTTTTTTCTAAACAGTAACAACCGGACTGTTGCACAATTTTAGTAGCTACCGTACCGTAAATGCAAATAATTAGGTGGCTGTATTTTCGGTCTTTTGCTCGAACACGTGCATTAAATTAAAATCTTCGGCAACTTTCTTTGAAAACTCAAGTGACGAATCTGGTGTGCCACATTCCCAACATCAGTTGCACACACGACACCAGCTGAGTAGATTTCGGCTAAGTGTTTGTGTTTTAAGCTTTGCACCCACTTACCACCTCCGTGCTCTACCTCAAATCATTCCGAGTGGTAACCGCGAAAGGCATTACATGGTATAGTCCTCCTAATAATTGTAGTTCTTTTTAAATTATCACAAGAATATGGTGGGAGTTTTAAAGGAGAAAATTCTTTTGAGCTTTAATTTAATGATTTCCTCCAACAAAACACGATACTTTGATTGGGCAGAGGATCTGTAACTTCCAAATGGCATACCGACAGCTGTCAAAGAGCAACTTCTTCATTACCCTTAGCTTCAAACTGGGAGCAAAGTCAACATTCGCGCACATTCAACCTTTAGAACAAGATCTTCAAATGCCAGCCTACTTCGATCTGAAGATTTTGAATGCTGGCACCAAAAAGGTCGCTGAAAACGAGTCTAAGACTGAGTACCTTCATGACATGAAGCAGAGCCAAGTTTCATAGGCGTGTGAAACAGATCATCATCAGCTTCACATACTTATTTTTTATACAATGGGCAAAAGAGATTAACATATCAAAATGGATAACTAAAGCCTGATTTCTATGTAGACTTAACAACTTTGGGAAGCCGGGTTCCCGAGTGGTCATTCATTACTTTTTGGTACTAAATGGTCCTCGCCAAAAAAACTAGAAAACGTGAAGTTTTAAAAGCCAATCGAAAGCGAAACAGCTGCATGCATGCGTGTATATGTGACTTTGTTCCCGATCGCACATATATATGACAGCAATTCAGTCACAGTGCAATTACTTTACCTTAAATGTACTGTGCCCACACTGACAGTTAGTCCCTTCCCTGTCTCAAAGTAGCAATCAATTTTCCATATTCATTCGTATGCATTTTAGGCGAACAGTCGACTGCCGCTGACAAATGATAATCCAATGAGGATAAAGTCTTCATGTTGATTTCATCGACTACTCATGCGTTCAATGATTTGTATAAGTCGACTAGATCCGCTGCTTCACCTCCTCTGTTGCCTACTTATTTACATATGCATATCAAATGTCGGTAAGGCATCGTTGTTTACAAACTTTTTTGTCGCCATGTTATCTGTGTGATCATGAAATATTACATATCATACGACTATAAACTACGCGGGTAGACATCTCTAGGTGTGTCGTTACAATATTACTGTGTTCATTTCAACGTAACAAATTAACAATGCGTTACTGTAACAAAGGTTATTCCGACGTCAACTTAACAAAATAATTCGTTTACATGTAAGAAAAAATATTAGTGCTCGACAATAAAACCAGCATTTCTCCTCACTCTCCTTCTTTACTTCGCGAACCGCTAGAGTCACACGTTTCGCCCATAAATTCACCACAATATGGCTTTCACTGACACAGTACTTTGCATTCGAGGGTTTTGCATAGGTTCATCCCTGTCCTTGTGTGACTGGCATTTAACACAGCTTTCATTGGCGTAAACCCGCTTTTATTGGGTCCTTTAATAGACCTTTTCCCATATGATCGTATAAGTCGCGCTGGCCACCTCACCATAGGGCAAACATTAGGATGTCCACCATTTTTCATGCAAATGCTTGAATGTTTTGAGGCTTCTGGACTATCATTGTCCATTGAAATACCTACTAGCTTCCTAAGGCTAAATTAAACTTGGTAAACGAATATTACTACCGTTGATAAAAAGTGTGAGCTTCCAACTGTCGATATTTGGTGCATTCTGCTAAATAAGTTTGGAGCTATTACCATTCGAATTGACATTGTACAGGTATGTACAGCTATTTATGCATTTTAACTTCATACTTTAACATTTTGTTTAAGAAGAGGTCAGCAAACATTAATTTTGGCGCCTTTTGTTCATTCGCGATTAATTTTTGGGCCAGAAACATTCATGTACTTACTTTGGATATGCAAACCTTTGCTAGTTATAGTCATTCACGTTCTTTGATAAATAAAATGCCAGAGTTGTCTAAGATGTCTCCATTTTTCTCATTTTAAAAGCATAATGTGACAGTTCGATCTAAATTCAACCCTCGTGAAATGTTGAAGCCACATACTCTAGGTTCCAGTCGTGGAAACGTCAAAGCCACTTATAAAGACTTTAGAGTCATATTTATGGAAGAACAATCTAACACGTGATTTGAAACCAGCGTAGACTGTCATAGAGGTACATTTTCACTGCCTAGACGAGGGTAGTGCGCTGACAGTCTTAGTCATATGACCGGCTACAAACTGTGAATTGAGTATACCTACTTCTGAGCCCGTACCGCATAGGAGGAATGACAAGCACGACAGTCACTTGATGCACCTTGTGCTAGACCTCCCCATCAATCACTACCATATCAGACCTTGTACACAGCTGCTGTTGGGACTGCATATTTTGCATCCTTTTAAACACGTTGTTTTGCTGTTAAATGACGGGATTAGGGGGTAAAGGAAACGTTGTGCAACTTAAATTAGCAATGCGTTCATGTAAAAGGTCTTCGAATACCAAAAAAGCGTCAACATAGTTTTAACCTAAATCAATGCAGACCGCACATTACTCAAAAGGGTGTTTTTGAATTATGGGCAGTCAAAAATGACCGTGACTCAGTATGTGGAATGACCAAACCCATCAAGAAATCATAAACAATTCCATAAGATCTTCAAGAACAAACTGCAATCATGAATTGTGTTGCGGGCCCCGATTTTTACAAAAAACCACTTCAACAATTCCCTTGAACCCTTCCCTTTAATTTGGGTGAAGATTTTGGCCTCCGAAGGGTGAAGGTTTGCGAAATTCGTTGTTTTAAAATCACTTTTAGCCATAGGAACATAAATCATCGCCATCAATTAAATTTAGCACCTAGACTACAGAATGTACCAAGTTGTACATGCTTCGCTAATTAAAGTGCAGGCAACTTTTTTACTGAAGATTTGTGGCAACGTTGACTACATCTGAAATATTTTTCTCATTCGAAGTGGTATTAAGACTCCCATCCTGACATCTCTGTTCAACATTAGCTCTAATACATGCTTTTATTCTGAGCTCCTTCATGTGCCAATGCCGGCTGAGAATGGTCAAAGGAATGACCCAAAATAATGTGGCCATAATAGATTCATAAACACTTGGACTTTTCTTTCTGACAAATCTGAATGTGTTATCAGTTTCAGTAAGAGGTTGTAACCCTTAGTACCTTTGTAATGTATCCAAAAGCAATGAGGTGGCATTTCAACCCGATCTAGAACGTATGTAAAGCCAAGCATTTGTTTGCAGCCATAAAACGTAGGTAGACTTGAAAAGTAAAAGAGGGTTTATGTACTCATGAAATTACGAGTAGGGTAATGCATAGATTTACAGAGACAAAATATGACGTTGCCATACACAAAAACCGAAAGCTTTTAATTCCGTTTTAGCAAAACGTGGTTTACCAACGATAGGGAAGACAATGTAAAATGTCCATAGGAGGTGGATGGTTTTTCGTCAGTTATGTTCAGCAGCAAAAATATCTATTTTAAAATAATATCAATGACTGTGTTTGGCTTTAAGACATTTCCTTGGCAATAAGTTGAGGCCCCTTTTTCAAGAGAGTAATAGAAGTTTAAACGCCATCCAAACGTCATGAAACTGATTTGCAATCATAGCTTGTGGATCCTTGGTCGGTTCGGAGGGTCAAATACGCCTCACCTCGAACGTGGCGCTGGAACGACCCATTCCCGAGGGCACGGAGGTGACACTGACATGTTCTAGTGACAGTTCTAGCGGTAGTGGGGTTCTGCGGATCCTACGACGTCGTGGCGGTGGGGAAGGAATCGACGGCTTTGAAGATTTGGCCGATTACGCTACCCGAGTTGTTCAGATTTCGGCCGATCGTCCAGACATCGCTGCTACCTTTGTGGTCTCACGCAAAGACGACGGATCTGTGTTCATTTGCGGGGATGTTGAGACCCTCGGCTTTCAATCCCAAACATCTGTGGTGTCGAGAACCATTCGAATTCAGTGTAAGATAGAAGGAACATTCGATACATTCAAATGTATACACTTTGCGTCAAACTTAACTAAGTAACTTTGAAGCAAGGTATTTAGGGTAATCGTTAATTTACTAGATTGCTTATATGGTTAAAGCAGCCTCCGTCATAAAAGAACTGTTACCCTGCGATGAAGATATCCCAAATATAATTATATGAGCTGCTCGATTATGGCTAATTCCAAAAAATAATATGCTTTACGTTGAAAATATGCTGAATGGAATAGAAATTTATAGTTTCTTCCCTCACATAAATGTTTAGAAAAATGGAAAGCGAAATTGAATAATTTTTTAGGCATCTCGATTGGGAAAACACTTGCTTACTTTTTGAGGTATTTAATGCACAGAAATGCGAACTTCTTTTTCAAATTGCGGTCATCAATCAGAGAAGAGTGGTCTAAGGCAGCAATGACATGATTCATTCTTAGTTCTGGATGGCGAAGGAGCACCATTCACGTTAGACAAAGGGTGTATATCATGATGACGCCCTTTTGCAGTGGCATGCATGTATAGGGTAAGTGTGAGAACAAGGTGTGTAAAACGGCGTATCGATGGCATTTATGAGAAATGTTTAGTCAAGATGGACATATGGGAAACCGAACTTCATGTCTACATGGAAAGCTAACACACCGGGGGACTATGACTAACGATATGTGGTAGTTGGTCCCTATGCATGGTCGCCATAAATGTGGGATTCAGAGTTGGTACAGATTATACCCTATTCTTGACCGTCACTCGTTTTATACTTTGCATACCTATTTGCTGCTTCAAATCCCCTTCCTTTTATTTGTGACCTCGCTTAAAAGATCAAAACGACTGCTTTTATACTCTGACGACCACAGGTCTGCATAATAAATGAGCTCTCCTTTTTAAAAAGCCTCAAAAGAGAATTCCTTTGCAGAGTGGTACACTTCTATCCAATAATAAAGCGACGCGTGTTATTAGGTGTGCAGTTGCATGAAGTACAGAATGTTCACCAACCTAAAACGGTTAGTGCGCGTGAGTTTAAGACAATCATCCTAATTACTTGAGTTACCAGTAAAGTAGACATTGCGTAAGCGACAAAACATGCTAGACAGAAAACATAATTTCATTTTACGACACTTGATTGCCTAAATGATTCACGCTTAGGATTGGCTGCATTAAAAACAAAGGCAGAAATCACCACTATTACATGGAGCGAGTCTCTTGTGTTTTGTAATAGAAGACTTAAAATTACCAAATTTGTATTGGGAAAGGACCTTATGCCCTTACTTTGCTGAATACATTTAATCTCCATGGTACTGCAAGATGCACTGCCTGACTTAACGCAATAATTTTTGGTTTAAGCTTAACAAAATGGATTAATGACCATATAATTCCATCAATATCTGCTATTAAGACGGTATCTGGAAATAGTTCCCGTTTAAATTTTGCGGCACGTGTCAACGTAAATTAAACTAAGCATATACGGAGGTCTCTTAACCTTTTTAGAATTCTCAATGAGAAATTTTTGTGGAATGGAACCCCTTTTTAAGGCCGATTTCCTTAAGACCACTATCTAAACATGGTGGATTCCTTTTTTTGCTGCCGATGCCATCTACGCTATTCCCTTCGGTGCCCTTTGTCGTCTGCTCAGTCCACTGCAGATTACTGCTGCCGATCTTGTGCACAAGGATGTAAAAGCTTGAACTATCGACCTTTTGATTAATTCGTCCCTGGGTGGGCAGAGCTTAGCCACCCGCCTATGTGTTGCCACTATGCACAGGAATAAAGGAAACACCGGCTATTTGCTCTGTTTTCAACAATCGTGCCTAGGCTTCCGATGAGTACCTAAACCATAATAAATGTCATTTGCCTTTATGCTTGATAGGATTTTAGAATACCGAATTCATGGAACGTGCTCTTTATCTCAGGGGTGAGATTATTCTCAAACACTAATGCTAAGTTGAAAATGTAGATCTCAAATAAATTTTGAATCGGCAAGTATTTCATGATAATTTCTTCCTATTTTGTTATGTGACACCTTGTTTCAGTGCATAAGTTTGTCTCTGTTTAAGAATAGTAAATTTATGTTAGAAAATACAAACATGCACGAGACTTTTAAGGCAAACAACAACTATTTCATTTACATTTGACCCG